TAAAATGTTAGAGAAATAGAGAAGGTGGTTAGTAGAATTCCACTCTGAGAAAGTGACAAGTCAACCACAGAGCCCAGTTTTGTTATTTAAAAAAAATATAGCTAAAAGCTTCGAGACCAAAAAAATGCAGAGAAGGGGGGGAACAAATACCTGAGCCAAGTGTTTACCAGTTACAACGCTTATTCGAGCTGCTACATACTGGCACAAGATGGCGGCAAAATTGAAAAGCAGAGTACTTGCCACCAAGTCATACCCGAAACGAGCACCTCCTTCGATATTTGCAACCCATTTCCCGGGATCAATATATCCAACAGAAACCAAAAGGACTGGCAGTAGAGCAGGAACCATTCTCTGGATGAACCCTAGCTGAGGTCTCACATTCACAATTTCAGCTTCCATCCTAAATCTATCTGATAATATAATTACTCAGAGTAGGATTTAAGGGCAACTCTACAAATCAGTCAGTGGTTCACAGATTTGATCTAAAACACCTTTCCCTTGGTAAATTTGATTCCCTCCAAAGTCACACACAGTAGCGAATCAGTCGGTTCTTCTGTCAAAATAACACTGAGGCAAATAAAGCCACTCTAACACTGTCTTGTTTTACAGCTCTGTACAGTCTTTTTTTACCTAATAGCTGAAATTTCCTCTAGTAACCAATGCTAAGTTAAGGAGAGAGACCATACAACATGAGCTAAGTTGGTCCAAATGGAGGAAGCCCTAATAGAGCAGCCAAGAGCAGAACACAGACTTCCATATACTTAACCAATACGAATATCCCCAAACCATTCGAAATCAGCTTCAGACCTGAAAAAATTTATAGATTTTCGAATCAATAATTGATCTTAGTAGGAAGCAGCAACAAAAAGGAGATAAGCTCAAAAAAAAAATTTACAAAATTTCAACTAAATTGAAGCTAAAAGAATCGTAACGCTGACGAAAAGATACAAAAATGCAAAGATCCCGTATGATCTACGCATTCAGATCTTCGAGAAAAATAAGGTCAACCACAAACCAAGTATAGTAGAAAAAATGAAAAAAAGCTTAAATCTCTCAATTAAAACAAAACCCAGAAACCAAACATGAGAGAAGCAGTCGCGAAGAACTCAAAGTCTGGAAAATCCATAGAAAATTGGAGAGGGAGAGAGATCTAAGCTGAAACTAAGAATTCGATCCTTGTGATGAAACTATGAAAAGCTGAAAACGAGCAGGAAAAAAAAAACCCAGAAAGTCTCATTTGCACAAAATCCGAGGCAAAAGCTACAAAAACCCATGAAAGTCCGTACAAAGTTTCCCAGCAAAAAAAAACAGAGAATTAGGGTTTTTGAAAGAGGTCACCTTTGTAATCGCCATGATCGCAAGTTGACCTAACAACAATAATCTCAGTGAGAGAGAGAGGAAGGAGTAGAGAAACGGATCTTCAAGCCACGAGAGATAGAGAGAGAAAACAAGAGGAAAGAGAGAAAGAAAGAGCTCAGTTCCATCCAGAGAGAGAGAGATAAAAGAGATCCAAAAATCAATTATATAAAATATTTATATATAGATTACATATACATACATATTTGTATCTATAGGCCTGAAGGTTATGGGTGCTCGTGCCACCTTCAAAGAGAGAGAGAAAGATTATTATTACTATATATGTAAATAAAATGTAAAAAACAAAGGTATTATTCTTTTCTTTTATTATAGCTAAAAAACGTCTTTTAATTTAATTTTTCAGGTTTAACATATGGTTTCTTTAATTCATCTTTATTTAATATTTTAAACTAATCGTAGTTTTTGATTCCAAGATTAGTGGACAAAGAAGAGAATTATTATTATTTTAAAATTCTGGACCCCTCTTTCTCCTCATTGCATATGTAATAATAATAGCATCAAAAATTAAAATTCCTTTTTTATACACATCAATTATATCACACTTGTTTTTTTTGTTTTTGAAATACTGTATGCCTCTCTATAATATCCTTGTTTTACTAACAGAAAATATTTTTATTTTTAGCAACTAAACTTGAATTTATTAAAGAAATTTGTGATAAAATTTCCAATTGCGAAGCCAACAAAAATAAAAACCATATGAATAAACTTTATTAATGTATGCCAAGAAATCACTCTTACAATTAAAATACAAGGAATAATAATAGAAAACTCTTAAAACTTCTAGATGTGTGGATCAACTGGAAAATTGAGAAGACTTCATGTTCACTAGTTAAACCTTGCGTTGAGAATTCCTTTCTTGAGAAAAAGCTTGATAATACAGTTTCATATGGAGATTTGATCACGTATTTTACTTGATTTTGTGAAACTCGAGCTATATTAATCTTTTCGTACTTATGATTTATTATCATTTATGAGAGTAAACAAAAATGTTGTTTTCTAGTAATATTTTTATTTTTTGATTTTTATTTAAAAAATCAAACGGACGGTTACAAATAATATAAACGTGACTAACTTTAAGAGTACGAACAAAAAATTATGTACATTTGTTAAAATTGTGTATGATCAAAGATAGGGAATCAAATCTTCTAACTCGCAAAAGATTACATGTGTCTAGAAGATTTGAATTTTTTTTGTCACACTCTAAAAAAGTTTACGCGATTCTCGCATACTGTAAAATTCAAATCTCAAACAAATAAAATTATTTAACTACTGTATATATAACTTTTTGCTACCAATTTTTTATTAGCATTCAAACTAAAATATAAATTTAGATCTATTTATCTAATATTAGAAACCGATGTCTATGAATTTTTTAATGATATACTTATGTTAGTGTTAAAACAATTTTTAAATGTAAAAATATATCTGAAAAGGTTCTATTTTACATTTCAGTGTTACGCAAAATAATGGAATTATAATTTGCCATTTGCATAAATATAATACAAGAGAAAACAAAAACTTCCTTTGAAAATGACGTTATTTGAGAAAACTAACTAAAGTTGCTGAAACAATTAGGCGTTATCGAAGGCTGAAGTTGTTGACTAACAAAAATGGAAAAATAAATGAAGGCGTTAATACCATAAATATGTAAAATCGGAAAACAAAACAGGATTGGACATTATACTCCACAGAATGCTATAAATTTATATGGCAAATTTTTTATTTATTCTGCTGTCCATGTATTAGACATCAATATTAATTGCAAAAAACAAAATATTTGTCAAAAATAACAATTCATGGCCTTCAAACAAAAAAAACTCAGACATTTTGTTTTATGTGTCTTTTGATCTCCGAACTAAGAGCTTGATTTTGTTAAATCATCATTGAAAAACACTACTTTTAAAACAAAAAAAAAATCATATATGAATTTCCATTTTATAAAAAAAATATGTAGTTGGATTTTATATCTGATACATAAGTGATGTATAATAGCTAGATTTTGTTCTCACCAGTTACAATAAGTCATTAACATTTGTCAATAGATTCTAATAAATGTAACATTTTAGTACGTACTAACGAAGAAACAGTTACTAAAACCAAACTATAATTAATTAACTGATTCATATTTTAGTATGGTTAATTATATTTATTGATCAAACCATCATGCCGAAGTAGCAAAATCACAAAATCAAACCCAAACCAAAAGAAGAAAACAAATATAAATAGAATTTCTACTATTTTCAGTGAAATACTATAATCCACGTGTTCCTAATCATCTCCTACATCAATGGAAGTACAGCTTGGGCTTTCGATAACCATACATTGTACCTTCCTATTTTTTCCAATTTGATTTCTTTAGGCTTTTTTTATGTAACTTGTCACTATTATATTTAACATACTCATCATTATCCATATTCTCTTGTGAAACTATATATACATGTACATTGGATAGGAAGCAAATTAAAACACAAGAAACTAAAATTTTGCATCAATGAAAGGAACATGGGCTCCTCTCAGTCCTATGTTGATGTATATGTTCAATGAACCATAACATAGAGACCACACTTGTTTTCTATAATATTAAAAATAAATGGCTTACATACTTGAAGGTACCAACACAATTTCAAAGTTTGAGTGAATAAAAAAGTCAGAATTCTTAAAAGAGTCAAGATAGTCATATTTCAGTTACATATGGAATGTATAAAATCCTAATTTTAAATACATAAGGAGTATGTTTTGACTAATAAATCAATTTCAGTCATTTATTTTGGTCATAAGGAAATTTTTTTATTAAGTCTCGTTGATGTTGTTTGGGCAGTTAACCGAAAAGGGAACAAAGCTACATGGTACAGATCATTCATCAGCTTGAAGAATCTTTCTTGTCGATCTTTTTTAACTAGATTGTGATCTTTTGGGCTTTGTGTCCAAATATTTATTTATTAGTACTATTAATCTGTTGATAAATTGGATTTTTTGTAATATAACCTTTCATTAGTGTAAGGGACAATTTAAATTATTTTTCCTTCTTGGTTCACTGAATCTCTCTTGGGCTTGAAACACATGGTGGGTGGGTTCATAAGAATTGGAGATTTGATAATTTTAGTAATTAACCTCGAAACATGAGACGTCAGTTACAAATCAGACTCGTTTATTGTTCAATTAATTGGTTCCATTCAACATATGTTTTCGTTTAATCAAGTGGGTTTTCTTTATTTTTATTATTTTTCAATTAGAGTTGAGTTATTACGTGGAGACCAGAAGAATAAGATCGAATCGGGGCTGTTTTAGGAGGAGACATATGGATATTAAGTAACTTAAACAATTCGAGATTATGTTATGATTTTCTATAATTAAAGATTGCTTGGCTCAGGACTTGAGATCGAAAGTTGTAGCTCAGATAAATGTTTTTGTTAGTAAATTGAATCGAGTTGATCTACACATTCAGTTACGAAAATTTTATCCAGCAAAAGATTTCAAAACAAGAAAAATTGATTAGTACTATAAGTGGTAGGTCTTTCAACAACCAAGTGTTATAATCGATATTAGTGTTAAAGTAGGCCCAACGAATAATAAATTTAGCTTAGCATTTTTAGAAACTTTGAAGGCGAATGATCTATTCTATATAATCCGGAATGTCAAAACAGCCCCTTTATATCCAAAACCATTGGACCAAATATTTATCTAACGTATATGTACTTACTTAAAATGTAAATGAAATGCACTAGTTGATTACATAAACCGAAAATTTTGATACAATATGAAAAATCCACAAAACAAATATACATTTTGTACTGCCTAATCAAATTGGACTTTTAGATTGTCTAATAAATAATCTGATCTTACTCTTGGTATGAATCGTCTTGGAGCTCAGTTTTGATGCATCATGCATGTTATTACTTGTGTTGAGGCACATATTCCTGCAATACACCAATCAAAATTTTCAGGATTGTTAAACGAAACTCTGTCTAGTCTAGCAAGTTTTAGACATAATTTGAAACAAAGATAAAAGCATGTTTAGATATTTGATTTAGTGATTTGAATATATGGTTCGGTTTAGAGTTAAATTCGTATCATCTATCGATATATGTACCTCCAATTTTTTAAACAATTCTTTTGCGGTTGGCGCGGACACGATAATATGTCCAGCGGTTGGAAGAATAAATCCCTCTTCGACGGCTTTGTCGATGAATGATAGCAATGCATCGTAATATCCATCAACGTTTAATAAACCGACCTGCAAGAAAAAAACAACAATCGCAAACTCTTATCAAATAATTGATCAAAATTATCGTCGGTTACTATCTTATATATTACCACGCCAAACCGGTTTACATACCGGTTTATTATGGATACCAAGTTGTGCCCAAGTTATCACTTCAAGTAGCTCCTCTAGTGTACCATAGCCACCTGATGATTGATAGTGAGGACTCGTTGACTTAGTCAAGTGGCACGAATAGTAAAACTTAGGAAGATTTTATTAATTTTTTCACTTTCATTTTTGACCTCTAAAGAAAAGTCAACATCTGAATAATGAAAAGTCCTTCTCTTCTCTTTGGTACTTTTTCAAGTCAAAGGTCAAACATTAGTGCACTCATCATCATTCATGTGATCACAATATTTGCTACATAATTACCATTTTGTTTCTCTCAGAATATAATAAACCAGCACTACCCAAAAAAGTAAAACAACATTTTGCAACCCATATTATGATCTTTTAATGTCTGTTCAAAAATATAAATATATATATAAACTGAGAACATAAAAAATTTGTTAAATTGGATAAGAAACAGATGTCCTTTGTCGACATCTATTTTCACTGCTTTTGGATGTTGATGGATCAAGTACTTTTTCTGATTATTCACTTTAATTATTTCAAAACTATTTGTCGTGATTCTTTGACTCATGGGATTTCCCACATATCATATTAACCACATGTTATTAATACTTATTAAACGCACTCTTTAAAGTTCTATATAATGAGATATGACTAATAAAAGTTTTTTTTTTTTTTTTTTTGTTAAAGCACTAACATACATTATGTAGGGGGGGAAACAAACACTAACACATCTAACTTTAAAAGATTCTAGCATCATACATTGGGGACTCTAAATGTAGAAGCAAAGTTTTCACAAATGAGTATCAATAATATAATTTTTCATAAATTTATTTGTAATAAAGATAAAAGAGAGGGGGAGAGAGAGTAAATTTACCAGGCAAAGTAATGAAAGCATCAGAATGCTTAGCCATCTCAGCTTTTCTCTGATGCATGTCTGCAACTTCCCTCACTTCTCCTACTGTTTCTCCAGTTATCTTTGTGTTTGTTTGCGAGACATTGACAGAGAGACAAAAAGAGCATTATTATTACCATTATTGCTATTATTCCAATTCAGATCCATTGAAGATTGATCTCCTCAGGAAACGCTAATTAATACCTCTTGCAACATGAGGAGCTTTGGGATGACTCTGCATCATAATAAGAATTAAAAACCATATTTTAATGAAGAACATCCGAATTTTAATGAAGTACTATAGAATAAACATATAGACTAAGTACCCAATAACATGACGACCACCATCATGAACAGCTTGAGACACCAAACCCATTAAACCTATGCTTCCTCCACCATAAACAAGATCAATCTTCCTCATCACCTGTTCATCAAAATTTCAAACCCTAATTTTGTATTTTGTATAAGAAGGAATCTCAAAAACAGAACGACCTTTTATCATTGTTATTTCTCTTTTTTTTTTTTTAAACAGACTTAAGAATCTTTGAAAGAACTTATTGGTGAAAATTGAAAAGAGAAATGGGTAACATGCAAGTTGTATATATGCATGATAATATACCAATTCTTTGGCCAAATCAATGGCTGCATCTTGATAACTAGCTTTGTTGCCATTGCTACTCCCACAAAAGACGCAAATCCTCTTAAACCTTGAACTTTGTTTCTTCGTCATCTCCCTTCTTCCCTCTTCATCCTCCATTGTTTCGTCTAACTTGTCAAAGTCACAACTTTTTTTTTTGTTTGTTTCTCGTTCTTATGGAAAAACAAAGGAATATTTTTTTAGATAAGACAAGTCTATTATTATTAGTAACTCTCTCTCTTTTTTTTTTCTTTTTTTTTTTTGGTTTGGTTTTAATTAACTCTCTTCTTCTCTACAACCCTTTGTTATGTTTTATAGCGTGGATTGTCTTTCTTAAGTCTCTGCTAGGCACGTGAGAAACGTGGTCACACGAGTGTTCAACTCTTTGGCTAGCTCTTTCTATCAACAAAGATATTCTAACTCATCGGTTAGCACAATCGCAAGTGGTGCTCACACACGCGTTGAGCACTCTTTTTTTTTCTTTCTTCTCATTTTTTTTTTTTTTTTTTTTTTTCTTCTCATATTTCATACTTAGTATTTACAATCTTCCAATTTTTGTGGGGTTCCGGTCTAGTAAACGGTGAATTATTTTTACTCATTCTCTATTTATTTTGGTGTTTTTTTCTTTCTCATATACTTCATACTAGATTTTACCCCGTGGGTCGATTTTTTTATAACTAAAAAATTATTTAGCAAAATTTTAAGTTGTATTTGTTTTGTTAATATTGTTTATTTTGTTTAGTGTTTCTGATTTTATAATTAAATTTTGATTTTTAATTCTAGGATTTCATCCATAGTATATTGTTTAATATTAATATCGATCCAAACCCGTTGCACCATATAACCCCGTCCCGTAAAATTAAACATTATTTGTTATTTTTTTTAATAATATTTTTATCCACTACGGGTTCCAGGTTCATGCAGATAAGCCCGTAGAGAGTTACGGGTTTGCGGGTCAACCCGCCAAAAGAGAAGCTATCTTTTGAAACCCTTTGTTTTATTTAGAGGTTTTGAGAAAATATTCCTAAAAAATAATTTTCATTATATGAAAAAAAAGAAGTAGAAGAAATTATAGTATCAACATTCCCGATTTTTACATCACTCGTTACTATTAATTTTTTTTTTTGCAGATAAAAATCAGATTAACTAAGTCGAGATTTTTAAAAAGATTGTGTAGAGATTTTTGGTAAATTGTTGAGAACATATTTGATTTCAAATTTTTACTTAAATAGATAAGAAAAGATTTTGTAGAGACTTTTGCTAAATATATGAGAAATGAATTTTATTTAAAAATCTTTACTTAAATAAAACAAATCTAAATAATTAATGCTAATGGCATGCCATTGTAAATACTTCTCAACTTTAAGATTTATTTGCTAATTGTGATCCAAAAATGTATATATAGATTTGCAATCTTCCAAACTTTGTGGGGGTCTATTAATCTGTGAATTGTCTTTTTGATGAATCGGTCATTCAAACACCAACTTGTTATAGAATTATTTGCGATCATTTATACTAAAATTGCGGCAGCTAATATTTTCGAAATGTTGAAACTTAATTTAATTTGGTACTTATAAAAGTTTTTTTATTAACTGAAAAATTCTTTAGGTCAAAGTTTAGAGACTAATTAATCCTCACAATCTATCCTGTAAAGATATAATTTTTTCAAAAGTTGCATATTTGTCGATATCCTCAATAATTAAAGAAGTTATTATTTGCATGGCCATGAAAAAGAAAGTTGATATTATATTGTGAAAATTTTGTCTTTCTCGAATCTATTGTTTCTGTTCATGATGATCATAAATAGGAATTTCTGTTCTGGATAGGCCAGCACAAAACGATTTATTATCTGTTCGACGCTAAACAGTAAGATACGTATGATTTGGTGTTGGATTTTATTTCTCGTGATTGTTTAAAGCTATGAAATTTTTGTCTTTTCTTTGGGTTAAGTGCCAATCAATTATATGATTAGTTAGGGTTAATGAAACCTCTAAAAAATTGTTTTGTTGGTTTAATTATGTTGTTGACAAGAAATATGCTTCACTGTTGATTTTTTTCCTTACAGTAAAACCTCAGATTTTAATGATACAATGTGGAGATATATTATTTTGGGTAATATTACTAACTAGCCAAATTTGACACATAAATTAAGAAACTAGCAGAGAGAGAAAATTCTGTCGGAAAACAGCATGGATCCACCTTGTCTGAAGAGGTGAAATAACAAAACCATCCTCCGTTTGTTTTGAGATCTACAGTAGGCGACATTGTTTCGTGATATTTTTCAAAATAGCACGTAAGATTTAAATTTCACATGTTATATTTAACTAAAATACATGCTATTTAAAAGAACGTAGTGAATTTTTAAGAAAAAACATTGTTACCGAAAAATTAAACTTGAATAGAATTTTTTTTATAAAGAAATAACGTGTGATCTTAATAAAAACCGTGAATTACTAGAAAATAAGAATCGTTTTTAAAAGAAATTACATGTGATCATAATAAAAAACGTGTATTACTACAAAATAACATGATAGCGAAATATATTAAACTGAATAGAGTGTTTTTTCAAAGAAATAACATGTGATCTTAATAAAAACCGTGAATTACTAGAAAATAAGAATTTTTTTTAAAAGAAAATCACATGTTATCGTAATAAAAAACGTGTATTACTATAAAATAACATGATAGAGAAAGATATTAAATTGAATAGAGTGTTTTTTCAAAAAATATCATGTGCTCTTTATAAATAACGTGTAAAACCGGAAAATAATATGATAAAAAGAGATATATTATTCTATCACATGTAATTCGAGAAAAAAACATGTTATAAAGGGCATGTGTGTAATTACACGTGCTTTCCGACATCCAACAGACAAAGTACTGTAGCTCATGACTATTTTCTTAATTCTTTTTGAATCCATGGCTATTTAATATAAATTCTCTATTATGTTTCAGATAATACGACAAAGCCAACTTATGGTGCTATTTTCTTCAAAAAAAAAAAAAAAAACTTATGGTGCTATTGTGCTAATTAATTATGTTTTGTAGCATTAGCTCAATAGTAAATCCTAGTATTTCAGTAATCTCAAAGCCAAATTATGTTTTTAAGAGTGCATGAGAAAATATGTCACTATGCCATTGGTGAACCTGACTAGATTACTTACATTGGCGGACCCATAAATTATTTTTATTCGGGTCATAATTTTTGGTTAAAATCTATCATATAATTACTTTTATTAAAATATTTATTTATTATTCATAATTTAATTAAAAGGTATACAAATCCTAATAAATGCTATGATTTTTAAGAGAATAGAAAAACAAAAGATGTAAATATAAAAGAAAGTAAACATATTGAATATGTAAAAAACAAAAATTACTCTAATATTGTCGGTGAGAAGAAGGCTCGAAACCAAATATAGGGGTGTCAAGAGCAAGGGTTTTACCAACTGTGCTACCATTACTTCATTGTTTCCTATACATTAAAATGTATTTGAACATTTAACCCGGGTCAACTGACCCATTTTCTTTCTTAGTGGGTCCGCCACTGATTACTTATGTCCTAAGACACGTTAATACGACGCGTTCGCTTTGGGCAGAGCAATGTGTTGTCTCCCCTAATTCATATCTAAATTAGCTAATGCACAAACAAGATGATACATAGAATAGTATCATGCATCCAATAACAAATACAGTAAAAAGTTCCAAAAACTTGTGGTAGTTGAATTTTTTTTTATTTGACATTTCTCTTTTTAGTAGATTCTAAACCACTCATTCACAATAAATGCGATGATTTTACAAAATATAAAATTAAAATCATAATGATTACGCGACAAATATTGTCAGAATAACATAATTATCAATATTTCTCTTCGCCAATAAAACAAACCGAATTTACAATTACTCAAATTTTTAGTATATATACCAACTATATGTTCGAAAATCAACCTATCTAACATTAAATTACTTGATTGATAAGTCGACCAACTATATATTTTTCGAACTGGCTAATAATCAGATCAAGTTAACCTAGCTACTAGTGATAAGTTTGGAAAACTAGAAAAGAAAAAAAAAAAAGAGAGAGAGAAAGATTAGATAGTGGAAAGTTCGTAAAAGAATTTAAATGGGAAGATCCCTTATCCTCATCGTCGAGGCCTTTATCTATGATATCCTCAGTTAGTTTATATGCTAAAAAAAGATTATTCCGTCAGATACCATATTTTAAGACTAAATGAATCGGTGCTATAAACACAAATGATTAAAATCATATATTATAATCGAATGATTAATTTTATTCTACGCTTATATAAAAAAATTCATCCTCTACGTCAAACCAATATCATTTCTTGTTGTCTTAAATGTTTTCAATGGTTAAAAGTTAATACCAACATCTAATAAATATATTTCCTATGAGCGGGCCTGTGGCCAATAACTTAGCATAAAACGATTTGTCTTATCGTTTTAAATATGGGCTTTATATGGGTTTTGGACTCAAAAGTGTTTGATCCTATGATCCAACGGTTAGGATTTTGACTAGTGAACAGCGTAATCATATATATAAAAGTTGGTCAACTCTCTCCATCATTTCGCCACGTCAGCAGTGGAGATAGTGACACGTGTCATATCAGCATATTATATTTATTATTTTATTTTATTTTGTTAAGAATTTAAATCATGCATTAATTCTTACTTATATGAAAATTGACATATATTAACTTATTAGCCAAGTAATTTCAATTTAATTAGTACAAAAGTATATCAAACTCATATAGAAATTAAATTATTTAAATTTTTCTGTATAAAATTGTATAAACTTATGCATAAACATAAAATCAATGGAATTTTAATTAAATTTTAGATTTTATTAACGTATAAAAATTAAATAATATAATATTATAATTTCTTTCATGTTTTCATATACTATAATATATATAGGATTAGTGACAATGAATATTAGTTGAATTTATGGTTTATTTTAAGGTAAATATGAGATACTAAATCAACACTACTTTTTCGTTTATATAAAATTACTTTTAAGATAACAAAATTTATATATTTTTTTTGTTTTTAAGGAAAGTAATTGTAAATAAAAGTTAAACAATGTAATTAAAAAACAAAAAAATAGAATAAATTATTTACTCGAGAGTTAGAGGAATACATCAAAATGATTATTAGAAAAAAAAAACTAAAAAGACTATTTATCAAACTAACTCAATCAATGTAAATTGTTATAACTGACAAATTATAGATGAAAAAACCCGCACGTTGTGCGGGTATTAGCCTAGTTTATTTAATAATTTGACGAAACTCTTCGTACCTGTAAATTAAAATCCGTTGGTTGAGATTTGAATTTAGATAAATTATACATATGATCTCGTTGGCCAAAAAAAAAACAAAAGGATCAAAAAGAGCAGTCATTTTCCCTTACGCCAAAACATCACTATATATAATTGGAACCAAATAATC